AAAAAAAAAAAAAAAAAAAAAAAGGCAAAGAAAGACAGCACGTCAGCAATGATTCTCACATAACAGACAGCAAAGGCGGCAACCAAGCATCTCTGCACTGATCACCAAAAATGCAAGCTCGGAAAAGTGGGACCACAATGGAGGGGTAAGTCGAGAAAATGGCAGTTGACGTAGATGCCCTTCATGAGCGTGCACGAAAACATTCCACAGTCGAGACATGCAGTTGACGTAGATGACCTTCAAAAGATTACCAGGTGACGTAGATGCCCTTCATGCCCTTCATTCGGGGGAAGTATCGAATCCCCTAAAGAGGGATAGGTCGATAAAATTGCAGTTGACGTAGATGCCCTTCATGAGCGTGCACCAAAACATTGGAAAGATTACCAGGTGACGTAGATGCCCTTCAAGTCGATAAAATTGCAGTTGACGTAGATGCCCTTCATGAGCGTGCACCAAAACATTCAGCATTCTTATCAGAACCACCCAAGTTTAGCGCGACGATCCTGACATCACATCCCCCTTGGGGGTATGGAGCGATGGTGGCGCGTTGAGTCTTTTGAGAGGATGGTCTCTCAGAGTGTTAACCAAGTTGATACTCTATACAGCTGTTTTCAAGCGTGTATGATGCTTGTGTGTATACTGTGATGTTTGCTTCCTCCATCATCCAACAGGCGATACTCGTTAAAAAAAAAAAAAGATTCGAGGGTAGTGTCAACTCCCCTACCTAAAGAGGCGCACGGGAGCCTCAGAAGACGCTCGGAAGAGGGGGTTAAAAGGACCTGGGGAGGGGGTTGGAAGAGGCTTCGGAGGGGTTCAGGAAGGACATGCAGAAGGGTTGACAGAGGCTTGGTGGCAGAGAGGCTCAGAAGAGGTTCAGACCAGGCTTGAGAGAGGCGAGGGAGAGGCTTGGGAGCGGCTTAGGTGATCTGCAACTGGAAAATGCCCCAACGCATTCTGACTGGGTTGGTTTTGTCTTCCTGAAACACAAACGACGGGCCATTTCTGCCTTCCAACCCTTTGTTTTCCTATCCGGAGGTGGTTGTTGCAGTTTGACTAGGTTCAAAGAACTGGCCTGAGCATCGCCTAGACGACTGCTTTCTTGAACAGGGCAAAAGCTGGGCTCCTTCACTCAAGGCTCGCATGCTCAACGCGTGCCTTCAGCATCCATGTACACAACTCGACTGCTCTTGGGACCATTGGACCATTGGGACCATTGGGACCATTGGGGAGAGATCAACCAGCGGCTGTTGCCAACCCTGCGATATGTCACTACCTTGTCAGTTTGTCCTTCCAACCCTCCACTTGGTACATGCTATCATTGGAACCATTGGGACCATTGGGAACATTGGTACATTTGGGATTACTTCTCAAGCACATCCGCTTTTGGTGGGCGGATGGTAGACAAGGTCACAAGCGGCACATGGCCTTGCCAATGAAGGGGGTAAGGGTGTGATTTCCTTGACGTTGACATCTCACAGCATGGGGCTTTCCAGTTCACCGACCAGATACATTCTAACTTATATATAACTTGACCTTATCCTTCAGCGAATTGTAGACCTCACAGCA